GCAGTTGCCTGCAGTGAAATTGGACCTCTTCCAATCATACACACATTACAAAAACATCACACCGGGGAGACAGGTCAGAACAGGTAGCATTAAAGAAAAACAGTGAAACGTACAACACAGTAGGGAAGAGGAGGAGAAAAAAAGAGAACTCCACTCAGACTGAGCTCCTTATAGGGGATCAGTATGAGAACAGAAAACAAAAACTCCTTAGTACAAAAAGCACATAAATGTTCACACTGTAACACCATGAAAACCCATGACAAGCAACAGGGGTAGCTAAATGGGGTTAGAGTAATTCAATGTAGACAGCAGCATCGGTTCCTGTGGAATCTCTGGCGGAATCCAGGCGACCCGGCTTCTGCATCAGGTTGGGGCAAGCGTCGGAATGCGGATGTATCTGATGGTAGATCTTTATTTGCAAGTCATTTACTGCAGTGCTGCTCTGATAATGGCTTAAATCTCTCCAGTAAAGTCTTTTTGCCTGATAATAGCTACACACATATTAGAGAAGCATGGCACACAACATCATGGTTAGATCATTGTATCTGCACAGCTCAGGACTCATTAGAGTTTATGAGCATTAATTAGCATCTTGCTCTTACTGATCATGTGCCTGTATCTCTTTATCTGTATATTTGGGCAAATTGCCTTCGATTAATAATACATTTGAGGGGGAAATTGGTCTAACCTGATTGAGGAGGCTCTTCTGGTATATTCTGATAGGATTGAGCTACCAAAAGATGCATTTACATGTTAATTGTAATAATCCCCAACATGCGGCTGAGTTGTGTTCCTTATATGAGAATATTGTGGAGTCCCTACTCATGTCAAGCAGCTCACTGTCTAAGACTAAAATGTATAAAGCTAAATGAGGCTGGAAGTTACAGTGGGATGCAAAAGTTTGGGCAACCTTGTAATAGTCATTATTTTCCTGTATAAATCGTTGGTTGTTACGATAAAAAATGTCAGTTAAATATATCATATAGGAGACACACACAGTGATATTTGAGAAGTGAAATGAAGTTTATTGGATTTACAGAAAGTGTGCAATAATTGTTTAAACAAAATCAGGCAGGTGAATTAATTTGGGCACCACAAAAAAGGAAATGAAATCAATATTTAGTATATCCACCTTTTGCAGAAATTACAGCCTCCAAACACTTCCTGTAGGTTCCAATGAGAGTCTGGATTGTGGTTGAAGGTATTTTGGACCATTCCTCTTTACAAAACAGCTCTAGTTCATTTAGGTTTGATGGCTTCCGAGCATGGACAGCTCTCTTTAACTCACACCACAGGTTTTCAATAATATTCAGGTCTGGGGACTGAGATGGCCATTCCAGAATGTTGTACTTGTTCCTCTGCATGAATGCCTTAGTGGATTTTGAGCAGTGTTTCGGGTCGTTGTCTTGTTGAAAGATCCAGCCCCGGTGCAGCTTCATCTTTGTTACTGATTCCAGGACATTGGTCTCCAGAATCTGCTGATACTGAGTGGAATCCATGTGTCCCTCAACTCTGAAAAGATTCCCAGTCCCTGCACTGGCCACCAGAGATGGGCAGTAATGTGTTACTGTAATCTGATTACTTTTTTCAGGTAACGCGTGAAGTAAGGGATTACTATTGCAAAAACGGTAATTAGATTACTGTTACTTTCCCGTAGGAACGCTGCGTTACTGCGTTACTAAAACCGTGATTTTTTTGCGAGAATGTCTCATGACAGTGACATAAGCGAGTACAACGTTCGTGACAACAGCTGTGTGCAGATCAACAGTGGATAATATATCGAGTGCGGGAGAGAGCATGAGTGTGTAGCATTTAAAGTGTGGAAGTACTGACCTTACTTTGAGTTTGATTCCATAAAAAGTGACAAAAACATTTGTGTCCGTTGTGCGTGGGAAGAAAACTTATTTTTACAGCGAAAAAAACCCCTAAACTTCCAAGCAAGCAATGTACAGAAAATAGGTTTAAATGTTAAACAAATTTCTTCCAGTCAGAGAATGTTGCATATAATTACATTTTTGCTTGATGCAAAAAGTTAAAAGATTAAAACTGATAAAACAAGTTTTAAAAAGACACTTTTCCATTTGATTACATTTTGTATGATGGATTATGCAGAAAAAGTAGAATTGGGCTGAAAGATCTATCGCTTTATCACCTTTTCAGGTTGTAAATCGTG